TGCCACCAGTTCTTCTCTTGATTTTATTTTACATTCCCTTTGACAAAATTCTAGTATCTCACAATAAGTTAGCCATTTGTGCTTGCTTATTATTTCTCATCTATAAAATGTTTCTTGTGCTGAGAGCCACAAAGGTGTTTTTGAGCACAACCTGGGCTTGTATCTATTACATATACTCAATATGGCATGTCTAACAATTGTTTTTAAAGTCCACATTAACATTGACTTTATCACACCACAAATATCCATGCTACCCAAATCTCAGGTCATGTCCTTCTAACTCCAAAAGCCTTCTATTTCTCAGCAGTACCCACCCTTTTGTCCAAACCAAACAGCAAGCTGCAAAATACACTTTAAGTCAGGTAAACCCAATCCTCCTCTTTCCTTTGCATCCTGTGACACCTTATATTTAATTCATGGTTTTTTCCCCCAGCCACAGAAATTTAGATATATCCTTTTGTCACTGTTTAAATGGTATACCAATTGTCAAAACAGGTATTGTTGGGAACAAAAAACATCATTCTAGGCAGCACATTCATATCTATTACAGAAATTCTCACCAGCAATGACAATTGTAGGTTCTCGCATCTTAACATATTTTTTTAAACTTCATTCCATGTCTTAATGTAATTATTCTGAAATAACATAGAATTCATATTTGTCATATGATACCCAGATATTTTATTGTCTTCTTAATCTTAAAACCCATTTTATTCATCAGTTCTGTTTTGTCTTCTACTTTCATGTTTTTTGTTAGCATCTTCATCTTCTATTGGTTCATCTTAAAACCTGCTAATGCACCAAATTCTTTTAGTTTTTCCATTAATGTTTCAATTCCCTTTAAAGGATCTTCCAGAACCAACACAAAGTCATCTGCAAAGGCCCTTAACTTATAAGTTTCTTTTTTAATCTTTACTCTCACAATCCTTTCATCTTGTCTTATATCTTTATTCAGTATCTCAAGAACCAAAATAAACAAGAGAGGAGTTAGTGGGCATCCCTGTCTTGTTTCTTTTTTTATCTCACAAAGAACAATTACATCTGTATTGTTCATCTTCAGTCTTGTATTAAAATGCTGCTGCAAAACTTGATCTCTCTTCTTCCTGACAAAGTGCACCAAGACATCCCTTGGAACATTTATTATTCTCACAAATCTTGTATTTATTCTATATACCTTATCAATTTTTGCCTCTGTATGCTTCTTGTCCCAATCCAAAAGAATTACTAAAACTTTAATAACCTTTTCTCTAATATCTTCACCAGAATCCTCTGGAATTGCTCTAAATCTCAAATAAAATTCCTTCTCTGTCAGTTCCAGTAGTGCCAGATTATATAATTCTCTTTCCAGCTCTCTGTTCATAACTTCTATCTTACTCTCCACTTTGTCATTAATTTGTTTTACATCTCCAGACACTTGTTTTACAGAGCTTTCCATCTTCTTGACTTCTTCTTTCATG